CCCACACTACCCTAAGTTCGAGAAGGTGGCCCTGTGAGTAGACACAGCCTGGGGACTCTGGAGCCAGGCTACCTGAGAGCAGATCGGGATCTTGCAGCTTCCTGTGTGACCCTGAGCAAGTCACTGAACTCGGTGTCTCAATATCCCCACTTGTAAAATAATATGGGGCCACATCACTATAGTTAAAGCCCTCATGAGTGAGGTATTGGAACATTAAATAGGAGATAGCTATTTGATGGACCACAGAAGTAATGCCTGGTTTTCCCCTTTGCTTTTTTCCTCTCTCCCTCCCTCCTCCTTTTCCCTCTTTTTTTTTTTTTTTTTTTTTTTTTGAGACAGGGTTTCCCTATAGCCCAACTGGCCTGGCCTGGAACTTGTTATGTAGACTAGGTTGCTTGATTTTACAGAAATCTGCCTGTCTCTGCTTCCCAAATGCTGAGATTAAAAGAGTGTGCCACCACACCCAGCTTCTCTTTTCCTAAAAGAACTTTAGATCAAGTCAAAACCAATACTTGAAAGGCAAACAAATGAATATAGTGAAAAGTGCCCTATAGCGACTGATAAAGAAGCTTTTAGTTTCCCCCTTTAATCATTATACTGTCAAACATCTGTTGGCTACAATAGTGTCTAAGTACCCACGAGCAATAGTCCTGTCTGAGAGGACACACACAAGTAAACTGCACTATATGTCCCAAGTAGGATGTGCTGTAGGTACCAAGGAACCAAAAGACAGGGGTGTTCAGGTGCAGAGGTAGGAGCAGAGAGTGAAGTCAGGGAGGAGGGTATAGGGAGTACACCAGGGATGAAGTGCTCAGTTGCAGGTCCCGGGAAGGCAGGATATAAGGGAGGGATTATGGGTGCCATCCCACCTACGCTGCCCTTCCGGCTGGAGTGAGCAATAGGAGACAGGCAGGGATATTCTTGACCATCTGCACCTCTAATGCAAGTCCTTGGGTTGCATTTTGCAAAGCTCTGTGACTAGAGAGGAAGGGCTATTAAAATCAAACCACAACAGAAAAACTAAACCGACTTGGGAGTTGAGAGGAGTTGACTGGGCTGAGCATGGAGGGGGGTAGGCAAGTTCCCTCTATAGGTGCCCCAGCAGTTGGGGCCATTACCAGATTTTCCTTCTGGTGAGAATTTCTTGGGAAAGAAAAGTAAGAACATTTTTTTAAGCCTTGGGATTCTCTCTCTCTCTCTCTCTCTCTCTCTCTCTCCCTCCCTCCCTCTCCTTTCTCCCCCTCCCTCCCTCTCTCTTCTCACCCATGCTTGCACTTGTGGAAGCCAGAGGGATGTATGTATATATATGTGGGTGGGTGCATGTGTGTTTTCTGACCTGTGCAGGCATGCATGTGTGGAAGCCTGAGGACTTTGGGTATCTTCCTCTATAGCTTTTCAACTTATTTTCTGTGACAGGGAGTCTCACTGAGCTGGCTGTTCCAACTAGACTGGCTGGTCAGTGAGCCTTGGGGATCAGCCTGTCTGGGCCCCTACCCACTACTGGGGGTTACAGGTATGTGCTGCCACACCTGTCTTTTACATGGATGCTGAGGACTCAAACTCAGGTCCTTATGTGTGGTACAACAAGCACTTTAAGCTGTCTCCCCAACCCAATCCTAGAATTTTAAAAAGTATATTTTACTTATTTTTATGTGTACAAGTGTATTGCCTGTATGTATGTAAGTGCACCCGTGTTGTACAATGCCCACAGAGGTCAGAAGAGGGTGTCGGATCCCCTGGAACTAGAGTTACAGATGATAGTTACCCACCAGGTGGGTGCTGGGACTCAAACCAGGATCTTCTGCAAGAGTATTCAGGGCTCTTTAACCACTGAGCCATCTCTCCAGCCTCCCAATCCTAGAAGTTTTTAAATTCAGAGATCACCTTTTCCACTTTGGGAAAAATTTACTTACTTAATGTAATTAATGTGAACAATAATGATGGGAAAAGGTAATTATATTGAAGTGGTATCCTGACTTTAAAAAAAGTCCTTTGGGAGTACTTGAGCCACACAGTTCAACACAAATATCCATAAAACATGTACTAATAGTTCCAGAAGGAAATAATTGTTCAAGAAGAGCAAAAGACCAAGTGAGCTGAAATGCCAGGTTCTTAATTTATAAAGTCAGTAAGAGTGTTCTTTGTAAGCTTTCCTCAGGTCATAGGTATTATCAGGAAAACCTGGCACTGAGAACCATCTCATGCTTAAATACTTCACAAGGGCCCCAAACAAGAGAACACAAACTAAGAGAACCTTGAGTGCATTTTGCTAGAGACTAAATACTATGTGAATTTACTCAGCCTTCAAGAATGGAAGCATTAAAAGAAAAGTCACCAGTTACATACCTAAGATAAAAATATACACTAATCTGCAGCATTCAAATAACTTGCAGAACTTTACAGCAGTCACACTTGGCACTGTTGTTCAAGCTCTTCTTGAAAATTTGGGTGTAGTGCTCCCTCTCTTTGTAAGAAACGTCTTTTTGTGTAAATATGGAGTTGAGTTAATACTGCTCCATTTTCTAGGTGGTTGTGTGCCAGTGAAGGGGACAAACAAAATGCTAAGACCATGGGCATCCTACAGGGGAACTCACCATCTGCTGGTTACCCAGCCCTGGGCTTTGTCAATGGCAGGCAGGCTTGTTGCATGTCCCCCAAAACTGCCTTTCAGGAAGATAAGACACTTACCTATTTGTAACCACCACTGTATTCAAATCCACAGTAATGTCCACTGCTCCTGTACAGTAGTAACCAGCACTCCAGGCAGAAGGCACTTTTCTTCTTCTTCCTACTACTCCTCCTTTTCCTCCTCTTCCTCTTTTTTTTTTTGGTCTTTTTTGGAGACAGGGCCTCTCCTCATAGCCTCAGCTGGCCTAGAACTATGTAGACCAGGATGGCCTTGAACTCACAAAGATCTGCCTGCCTCTGCCTCCCAAGTAGAAGGCTAGAAGGCACTTCTTTTAAGTGTATCACCAGAAGTCTCAAACTAAAGAAACACATATTTGAAGGGAGGATTGAAAATATAAATACACATCAGCCTTCTAAGAGAATGCTCATGCAGGGATTTCACCTTTTATGCCTAAGAAGTGTCTAGGTTCTGCTAATGTAGTCATGTTTTGTGTGCGAAAATGATAACTGGGCCAAAATTCACTGGCATAATTAAAATGCAGGAGATTCAGGATTTTTGCTGTAATGGTAGATGACATCAGCCTTCAAAATCTTTAAGATTCTGAGTCTGAGTGAACTGTGTTCCTTAGGTCTTGGGAACGCCATGTATAGTTCCAGAACCCCCCACCCCCATACTGAAGGGTCATGGATACTCCAAAAAAGGGTCAGTGCACTTGACTGTGCAGGGGAAGAAGGTAGCTGGCTCTACTGTTTGTGTCATGTGGCCATCTTGGATCTAACTCCATACTAACTACTGCTAGAACTGAGAACCATCACAGTTTGATCCATATTAGAAGTTGAACTCATTAATGATGGTGATGAAAAACATGACAAGATACCATGAAATCCAAAGCGATACAAAAGAAAGCTGTAGAATATTCCTCATGAACAAAGAACAAAGAATTCTTAACATTTCAGCCTATCAGCTGGCTGTTATGGACTGAGGAGGATTGAGTCAAGGCTATCCTGGGTATATAGGTAGACCCTGTCTCAAACAAGTCTAAAAAACATATTTTTTTTTTTGTCTTTTTGAGACAGGGTCTCCCTGTAGCCCTAGCTGGCCTGGATTTGCTCTGGAGACCAGGCTGGCCTTGAATTCACAGAGATCCGCCTGCCTCTGCCTCCCGAGATTAAAGGTGTGCGCCATCACCCCTGGCTCTAAGAAACATTTTTAAAACAGATTACTAGATAGGGCCAAGTGAGGTGTATCCTAGGAATGTAAGGTTGGTTTAAGATGAAACTCAATCAATGTAGTCTATCATGTTAACTAATAAAGAAACAATGGATCATCTCAGAGGTGTTGGAAAGCATGTGTAAAACAGGACAACACTCATTGCTGATTTCAAAAGCAAAATGTGAAATTCAGTGCACTTGAAAAAGAATATCCTCAGGCTTTTGCTTTAAAAGTTCCAATAGCGCTGGGTGTGGTGGCGCATGCTAACTTTAATCCCAGCATTCAGGAGGCAGAGGCAGGCAGATCTATGTGAGTCCAAGGCCAGCCTGGTCTACATAGTGAGTTCCAGGCCAGCTGGGGCTATGGGGAGACCCTGTCTCAAAAAGACCAATTAAAAAAAAAAAAATCCAATAGCTTTCCAAGGCAAACTTGGGATAAAAGTAGAGGCCTTGCTCAATGCTGTATATCTAGTAATGCTCAATTTCCAATAGCCTCGCCAAGTATTATACTTCTTGAAATTTAGCCAATCTAATATGTGGAAAACAGCAGTTAATTTGTTTTTGTGACTATGAGTGAGGTTGAGTATTCTTACGGTTTTTGACTCCGCCTTTGAATTTCCTGTTTTCAGAAAATTATGTTTTTATTTCCCTTGTCTTTTACCTACTGCTTTGCAAGAACTATTGCTACACTAAATAAACTATTTCTTGGCCTACTGCATGCTGCAAATATATTTTCTCAATTTGCCTTTATCTTTGCAGTCATATTAACCTCTTTTGGGGGGGTGTTTGGGTTTGAGAGATACTTAGAAAGTATTTCCCATCTCCAAGATCATCAACATACTCATTATAATATTTTAATATATGTATATATTAAATAGATAATGTTTAGATCCTTGATCCACCTGGGATTAATTTTGTGGAATAAAGAAATTTGAAACCAGTTATGTTGGTGCACACCTGTAATCCCAGATTTGAGAAACAGATGCAGGAGGATCAAGAGTCTGAGGCCAGCCTGGGCTGCAACACAGTGAGACTGAAGCTACATAATCATTTCTAGTCCTGCGCTACAAGGTTATACCCTATCATGGGGAAAAAAAGTAAAAAGCAAGTTCAGCTTTAAAATACAATGAATACAAGTTTCCAGGTAGCATTACAATGTATTGTTTTAATTTTCTGAAAAAAACTTTCATGAAAAAAATTCAAAGTTTACCTATTTTACAGTATATATAAATGTATATGTATTTAAATGTTCACATAATCCCCCAGAACATTATACTACAATTTAGCATTATTATAACAACTAAAATATTTTTTCAAGAAAGTCTCTTTTTTCAGTGTCTTCGTATTTTCTTGGATCTTGAAGAGTTCTTCTTTGATTCACTATATTTTTTTTTAAAAAGTTTCTTTTCAATTAAGCTCACTTCTTCATGGAGAATAGAGGTCTTTATTCTTAGTAAGAAGGAGAAGATATTTAGTATAAACTGGTAACTCAGTGAAAAATTTGATTCCTCATAGGTTGTTACATGTTTACAATAGCTAGAAGGGGAATAAAAAGGAATAGTTATCTTTAAATGGCAATTCAGGCACCTGTTCATTGATCAGCCCCCATATAACTTAGCAAGTATATATGGTTAGTCTTAAAAATAGTGCTACGAATTAGAAGGAAACTTAGAACAATTTGCTAAGGCACATTATTACAAGGGAGGAATTTCACACTGTCCATGATTACCATGCAAGGGACAGACACAGGAGCCAGGTCTCATAAGTCCCCTCACATGGTTTCTTTCACTCCTGATGGGGCACTGCTTTCCTTCTGACTATGGCCAAGGCAAACATGAACAGAAATGGAGAGATTTTGGATGTTTTTTTCAATGGAACCCCAGCATTGTTAACCCCAGCATTGTTTGACTTAGCTAAATAAGCACTCTACCACTAAGCTACAACCCTGCTGATCTGTTTTTTAAATAGACAAAGGAAAATAAGTCATCCCCAATTTTCACCCTAAATAAGACGGCTGACTTCATAGCATCATGCACAACTCCGTGTATAATATATAAAAATGATTACCAAGCAGTTTCACTTACTTTAGCGCAGTAGAGCTAAGTGTGATCAAATCTCTACCACCAAATTTCTGACTGATGCTAACCACAACAGTGTAACTCCCCCAAAGTATAAGCAATGCAGGGGACAAAAGAACATGAAAACTGAAGACACCTGTTAACCACTTGCAATATAGATGGATCTTACTTGGATTCTGAGTAGCTGAAACTCACTTGACAATGCTGAAGTTGGGTAGCACTCTATGCTTCTAGAAGCTTTTGACCACTTTAAAAACAAGTAAATACTCATCAGAGGCTATGAACTTTGAGCAATGTGACAGTATGGATGGCCCTAAATTCCTGAATGCTTGTAACTGCGCACAAAGCTCTGCACCTGCAGAGGTGGCTAGAGTTGCTCTTAGTTCTTTCCTGCACAAAACAGGAAACTCAACAGCACCTTCTCCTCTCAGGGCTGGTGAGATGATCAAATAATATGTAGTAAGCATTTAATCTTGTGCTTGGCACACGAGGACCCACAAAACATTCACTTACCCTCCACATCTTTAAAGTTTTTAGTTTTCACTTTAAACTTCTAAAACATAAAAAGTTACTAGTGTAGAACATTCCATTAATGAGAAGTTGAAGCTTCAGCATTTGACATTTTTGGTTTAATTAAGATAAAATACAATCCTGTCAATGCAGCAGCCTCTTGCTTTTTTTCTTATTTTTAAGTTTCAACTATACTGAAATTCTTTCAGACAAAATATCACAAAGATGTACAACTGTTATCTTCTTACTTAAGGACCATTAAGAAAAGCTCTATTTCTACACCAGAGAGAAAGAATCCAAGGTTTTTTGATACATTAAGAATGTGTTAAACTCCTAACACTGTAAAATGGATTATGTTCTATCATAAACTCAGAAAACCATGCTAAAGTTTTAAAACATAAAGCTAAGTACAGCACACTATAACTTGCTATTGCTAGTTACTCTGTAGTGAATACAGTAGGTGATGCCCCCTGACTACTGTCACTGAACTTAAGTGTGATAAATGGATGCTGTGAGGGTGTTTATACAAACAGCAGATCTAAATTAAAAAGTTACAACCTTCCTTGAAGTTCAAGTGTTTGGGGAAGGAATAGACTCTGAATTCTGTGCACGTGCGCGCACGCACGCGCACACACACACACACACAGAAAAACTGAGTACCACAAGTTAAGGTTTTAGTTCAAATTTGGCATGTGACATATTTGAGGTTTGTTTTTGTTTTTAAGATAAGGTCTCTGTGTAGCTCCAGCTGGCCTGGAAATCAATCTATCGAACAGACTGGCTTCAATCTCAGAGAACTGCCTGCCTCTTTCTTTCAAGTGCTGGCATTAATTAAAGGTGTGCACCACCATACCTGACTGATTTTTTTTTTAAAAACAATAGTTTCAAAAATTGGTTAAAGATAAAAAATTTTAAAGTTCAGATTTTGGGTGCTGGAGAGATGGCTCGGTGGTTAAGACCACTGGCTGCTCTTGCAGAGGATTCAGGCTCAATTCCCAGTACCCACACAGTGGCTAACAACCAGTTGTAACTCCAGTTCCAGGGGATATGATGCCGTTTCCTGTCCTAAGCATTGCACACATGTGGTACACTTACATGAAGACAAAAAAACTCATACACATAAAATAAATATAAATAAATAATTGAAAAGTTCAGCATTTTTTACACAAAAATTCAATAAAAATAAAAATCAAAATTTTTTTTTTTTTACGTTCAGAATTTGTGGTGTCCCAAAAAGCACCTCTATTGCCTATGGAACGCAACTAGAAAAGCATGGCTCTTCTTCTCCTGTGGAAGAACAGTGATCTGCCTCTCCAGGGAGATCAGGGCCATGGCTCAGATAGGTCTTTTGACCTAGCCTACAGTCTGCCTTGGTCTGTTTGCATGTGGGGACTTCTACCAGTGTGATAAATAGTGAGGGTTTAATTCACCGCAATTGGTAGCTCTGTTCTGGCAAGAGGGACAATCCACCACCCAGGCAGGCTGCTGATCTTTCTCTGCTCAGTTCCCAGTGGAACACTCTCAGTGTTTCAGACTCATGCATACCTTTCTGACACAGACAAAAAATGAATCCTTCACCATAAAAAGATTGTCTGTTTTGTCTAAGACAAGTTCTCTTGAGCCTTTTCATATTAACCATTTTGGAAGGAAATATTTAAAAATTGAGTTATGAAGTCAGGCATGGGGGCTCTTGCCAAATGCACTTGAGCAACAGAGGCAGGAGGATAGATACAAGTTTGAGGCCAGCCTGCTCTATGTTACAAGTCCCAGGCCAGCCAGAGTTGCATAGCAAGGCCCTGTCTCAAAAAACAATCGGAATCAGATATTACTTGATTGTCTTAAATGAAGCATAGTTAACATGAAACTTTTTGGGGGGGGTCTCAAAATTATATAATTATAAATTGTCCATTTTATGTAGCAATACTAGAACATATGGTAAATGCAGGTAAGGGAACAAATCCAAAGAGCACACACTGCATTTCATGATGTGCTGCGTGTTAAGGTTGGCATGTAAGGATTGCTGAGTGCCACAGGCCTATGCATCATGAATGAACTTCAGACTACTGTATCTCGTGCCTCTGTTGCTTCCATTTCTGATGCTGGCTCATCTACTGTTTGTCATCTGTCTGCTGTCAAGGTGGCCACTAGCAGAGCTCCATTCAGACCCCTCCTACTTTGTTTCTTTACATGGTTAGGAGTTTGGAGACCAGACAACAGCAGCCAGATGAAAACACCTAAAGGCAGTCTGGAGGCTCTGGAAAGAGGCTAAGGGCTCTGAGGAAAGTATGTAGGCTTTAGCCATGGTCTCTGTGACATTTTTATTAGTTGGTTGAAATACTGCTCATTCTGGAGTCCTAGGCTGTGGTGTAACCCGGGAAAACTTGACAGGTGCCATTCTGGCACTACTGAAGTTCTGTCTACATGTCTGACCTTCAGTTCATGTGGAGGAGAAAAATGTCCGTGTTCCACCTCTGACCTCTGGAGATCTGCACAGACCTCCCCATGTTCTAAGACAGCATGAATCTAAGAACACTCACACATTCTCCTATGTGCCCTGGAAAAAGCAAAGGTACCAGATGAGTCCAGAACCCACTCTAGAACACTTGTGCAGACTCCAGAGAAGCAGGGCACTGGCATGGTAGCCTGGTCTCACAAGACTGCCCCTCACTGGCCAGAACTATGCTTTCTCCTCTTAATGAAATCTTAGACCCTAAAAAGCCATGTGTAGATCCCTACAAAGGATCTACAGCCTCGGATGTGAGGTTAAGCTCTGAGAGGGTGCTGGCCTTTCACCACAGCTACTGTTGAGACAGTGCTGCTTCACAGTCACTAAAGATGCAGCTCACTTCTTATTAAGTAGCAGAATTTAACACAGACTTCATTTTACCATCACCTACTATATGTTCTCTATCTTTGATAGATACTAACTGATGAAGGGAGACTGTTTCCTAGGAAATTAGCTTTAAGATAATAACGATCATGATTGTGGGGGTACATCCTTGTAATCCCAGCACCTGCAAGATGGAGAATCAAGAGCTCAAGGTCATCCTTGGCTACGTAATGAGTTTAAGGCAGCCTGGGCTCTATGAGACACCATCTTAACAAAAAACAAACAACAAAAGGATAATAATAACACTGGTGAGATGGCTCATCAGGTAAAGTCACCTGCTGCCAAGTCTAGGTTTGATCTATGGAACCTACATGTGGAAGGAAAGAGTAGACTCCTGCAAGTTGTCCTCTGACCTCCACATGTACACACACACACACACACACACACACACACACACACAAATAAATAAATAAAATAATAAGGATCATAATTACTTACTCTGTATAAATATATAATTAAATTTGCATAGTAACCTGAGGTAGATAGTATTTTTCATTCACCCACTCATTCACTCATTCACTCACTCTCATTCACTCACTCATTCATTCATTCATTCATTCATTCATTCATTCAAGAAATACTTGGTGAGCCCCTACATTGTGCTAGGTCCTGGCCTAACTATATTATGTTCACTTAAAGAAGTCTAGTAGGTTCTCCAGATCAGTACCCATTGACACTTCTATTGCCTCGCTGTTTCACTACAGATTAACTTTAACAGAGGGAATAGTCTGTGCTAATTGTGTGATACCATCTTTTAAAATGTCAATTTTCCACAAACTCTAAACAAGGGTTAATGCATAATTCTAATTTTCTTTACTATAAGAAAAGCTTACCATCTTCTGTGCATACTTACTTATTAGCATGCACAAAGCCCTGGGTTCCCTAGCACTAATAACCACCATTCCCAAACACACACACACACACACACATACACACACACACACAACCGGAAAATGAAGCAAACGAAAAAACCAAGACAAAAACAAACAAGCAAAAATCTTACCATCTTCTAATTCCAACAAATAACCTCTTTTCTATATGAGACCCTTTTTTTGGTAACTATGTATGACTTTCAATTAGAAAAGAATACACTTGGCTGAGTGTGGTGGCGCATGCCTTTAATCCCAGCACTTGGGAGGCAGAGGCAGGAGGATCTCTGTGAGTTCGAGGCCAGCCTGGTCTACATAGCAGGTTCCAGGCCAGCTGGAGCTACAGGTAGACCCTGTCTCAAAAAGGCCAAAAAAAAAGAAAGAAAGAAAAGAAAAAAGAAGAGTACACTTCAGGCCAAAATGGAGATTTCATCAGGCTTCCTGTCTTCTGAGTTTTAAAGGCATCACATACCTTTTGCAGAATTTCTGGGTACTGAGCCAATACAATGAGTTCTTGGTTTTCAGTGACTGGCCTTTCTTTACCAGGAGTCCCTGGAGGGTATGTTCATGGAAACAAGGTCTATTAATGTCTTCTTCAGTCCAGTTGAATTGAAAACTCGAAGGACCTTTCTTTTCGACCACTGGTGTTGAATCAACCAGTGCACTAAATTGTTTTTGTAAATTCACCACCATTTCTGGAGACGGAGGGAAAAAGCGAATATTAATTCACAAATAAAGTCTGGAGTTTCCTTGATAGGAGTGTGCCAATGTTGGTTTCTTAGCTTTATTTATTTATTTTTTTGGTCTATCTGAACAGATTCAGAATCTTGAGGCTTCTCCCTAAGCCTCTTTGGTGCTGGGATTTCATTTCAAGTGTGTATTCCATACCCAGCTGGTTTTTCAATTTTACAAAAATATTGTATTTATTTTTATTTTATGTGTTTGAGTGTTATGCCTACATGTATATAAGTGCACCCATGTCATGCAATGTCCACAGAGGTCCCCTGGAACTGGAGTTATGGACTCTTGTTAGCTGCCATATGGGCACTGGGAACCAAACCCAGGTCCTCTGTAAGAACAGTTAGTGCTCTTAACTGCTGAGCTATCTCTCTAGCCCTGGTCTCTCAATTTTGATAATGCACCATGGTAATATATGAGGTGAACATTAGGTGAAACTGAAAATGTATAAAAGGCATAAGGAAGCTACTTAAAAATGATTTTTAAAATAAAGCATACAAGACAATCTAAGACAGAGTTCTAAGTCATAGAGGGAGCTGGAGAGATGGCTCAGAGGACCTGGGTTTGAATCCTAGAACCCACATGGTGGCTAACAACTGTCCATAACTCCAATTCCAAAGGGGATCCAATTTCTTTCTGGCATCTGCGGGCATTGCGCAACAGGGGTGCACATACATGTAGGCAAAATACCCACACACATTAAATAAAGTTTCTAAAAATTAAAAATCATAGAAACAGATTTCAAACTTTGATGGGAACTTAAGCTCTGCTATGAATATAATGGCAAGTTGCTAAACTAAATTGAGATCTAGAGATTTCTAGCAGAGATACACACAAGATCATTTTAACCAAGTAAAAAGTGTGCCTATGCATTTGCTTCTCAAGTCAAGATAGCACTGCAGTCTTACAACATGAATGCACCTGATCTGGTCAAGTCAAGACAGCTAGCTATTCCACTACTGCACTGCCACTTGGCACTAAATGAGAAAAAACTCCAACTCACCTCTTCTTTTATACGCTACTGATTTGTCGATGTGTGAATGGTAGAGCGGCTTTCCACTTTTCCAAGAATACCTATTCAAGGCAGAAGAACAGATGAAACAGAATGGGAGCCCAATGCCTTAAACATAGTTTAGAGACCAGTCTCTCAGAGACAGCACCTGAAATTTGCTGTATAGCTTGGGCTATGGGCACCCGGCTACACTGTCATAGAACTTCTGTTCTAGAAGGAAGCATGAGTAAGAGCAGGCCAGTAGCATGATGTGCTCCTCCTACATGTCTCCCAGATGCTGTGGAATCCTTAGAAGGTATTAATTATAGAAAATAAAGTAAAAATGTCTTCATCACCATAAAACTTCCTTACTGTTTACTCCCATAAAGTGAAGCCACCTAAGCAACAGTTGCTCCTCCTGCCTTTGCCTCAAATACCCTTTTGCTGAGGACTGTGTCAGTAGGACTTCTGATTCAGGAAACCTATACAAGTAGACAGTGAGTGCTAGTCTCACTAGCAAGCAATGCCTGGAAATCTATCCTAATTCTGTTTGGAATAAGGAGGAAAGATCTAGATTTCAGCATGACACAGACCTAAACATGTCCTTGCCCGGAAGAATCCGGTCTTGCTTAGGCAAGGCCAGTCAGGTAGGTTCACTGTAATGGGGTGCTGATTGATCTGGTCTACAGGGCCCCCTCCAGGGCAAAGACTAAGTGCTATCTGGCATTCCTGCAGGTTACTACTGACCAGTCCAGGACTCAGCCACAAGGAAGTGATAGACACTATTTCTGGTGGCCATTACCAAACTCTGCCCAGATGCTGCTGCTCTGGAGCAGAGACAACAATGTTTCTAATCTCATTTCCATTTTTTTCTATGCTGCCTAAAATAGAGGATTTTTATAAACCACAATAAAAAATAATTCTGTGCCAGGCATGGTGGCACATGCCTTTAAATCCCAGCACTTGGGAGACAGAGGCAGGTGGATCTCTGTGAGTTCAAGGCCAGCCTGGTTGGGGTTACAGGGAGATCTTGTCTCAAAAAAAGACAAAAAGCCAAACAAAAAAAGAAAAGAAAGAAAAGAAAAAAAAGTCTACCTTCTTGATTCAGGTCATTAAAAAAATTAGTGTGGCAAGAGGAGAGAGCAATGAATCAGAGACCAGTTCTGTCACTTTCCAATGAATGTCCAATAAGCTTGAGTGACAAGCCATGGAGGTTCTGAAAGGCAAACTGTCTCGGTCTTCTTTATCCTCTAGTTGGGAATGGCACACGGTAGAGATTTAATTTAAGTACTCATTGATGAGAGTAAATACACAAATAAATGAATAAACAAATTGATCTAGCATCACTAAAAGCAGAAAACCTGTTTTCTACTTTTATAGGACTGTTATAAGGAGTAATGAGATAAGATGTGCAGCTAGAAGTGGTGGTACACATTTGTAACCTCAGCACTTTAGAGGGAGGATCAGGAGTTCAAGGCCAGTCTTGAACAATGAGTTGAGGCCAACCAGGGCTACATGAATCCCTGTCTTAACCAGAAAACAACAAAATAATACATATACAAGTCCTTTAAATCCTATACAATTATTAGATGCAATTATTTTATTTATTTATTTATTATTTATTTTTGTCTTTTTAAGACAGGGCCTTCCTGTAGCCCCAGCTGACCTGGAACTTGCTATGTAGACCAGGCTGGCCTTGAACTCACAGAGATCTACCTGCCTCTGCCTCCCGAGTGCCGGGATTACAGGTGAGTACCACCACGTCCAGCTTATTAGATATAATTATTATTGAGTACTTGGTAATAGTACCTGGCTAACTGACACTTGAGAAAACAAGAGTTTTCTAGAAAAGACAATAAGGAAGTCAGAAATATAAATATTTTGATCCACCTATAGAATTCGACAATTGGTATATTTTTCTCCATTTTTTAATATTAGTTAAGAAAAAATACGCAAAAGTAGACATTATGATAGCAAATGATCACTTTAAACAGTTTAAGAACTATGATTTTTCTCAAGGATTAAAAAAAAATCAAATTACTATATAGTCCTAACTACACATGAGAAGTTAATTTTTTTCTTTGTATTCCCAAAGTGATAAAGTAATTTAAGAACCAACATGAAATTTTTCTAAATGCCAGAAGGAATAGACATACAACCGATATTACATGAGATATCTTTCTGAAAACTTTGTGTAAACTACAATTTGGTAAACTATACCACATTTAAAATATATCAGAGCTGGGTATGGTGGCGCCTTTGATCCCAGCACTCAGGAGGCAGATGCAGGCAAATCTCTATGAGTTAAAGGCCAGCCTGGTCTACATAGTGAGTTCCAGGGCAGCTGGGGCTACAGGAAGACCCTGTCTCAAAAAAGACCAAATATATATATGAGAGATTATCATTTAACTCTGTAGTGAGTTTATGACTTTGATTAAAGGTGTGTGCCACCACACCCAGCTGAGTTGTGACTTTTTTTAAGTGTTTTAAAAATTATTTATTTTCCTAAGTAATGGGAGTATAAAATAAAGAAGTTCCCAACAGTTCCTAGTCCTTGGGTATGCCCACTGTTGAACATTCCTTGTAAAAGCTGGATCTAGAAAGGCATTTCTTATGCACTGATAAAGGGCCTAGAAAAGGGGCTATCACTATAATGGGGGGGGCGGGAGGTGTCACATGTTCAAAGTATGGGAAAGGAGATTTAAGATAACAAGGTTCCAATTGTCTGGACACCCTTTTCTTCAGAAATTTGCTTTACTTTGCCCACCTCTCCCAGCAACAAAGATACCAAAACAGACACACCAAAAAGGCCTTGGGTTTTCTAGCTAGAATTTTTCTTTTCAGGCTTTGTTTCCCTGTTTTAAAAAATGAAGGTATAATTTACATGTAATAAAACCTCTTTCAGGGCACTTCTGATTAGCATCAACATACACAGTTATGTAATTACCAAGATGATTAATATATAGAACCGTTCCAACACTCCAAAACACCCAGGTCCCTTTGCAGTCAATCCCTTTCCACACCTTTGATCTTGGGAAACTATAGTCTTTTTCATCCCTGTCAGTCTGGCCATTCTGAGTGTGATATCAACAGAGCTGTGCCATACGAAACCTTCTGAGTCTCTCATCTAGCACAATACATTAAGATTTGCTTGCCCTGCTGGCTGCATCCCAAGTCTGCTCCTTTGCGTTTCTCAGTGGTGCTGCACATGCCAGTTTGTCCAGCCGGTCACTAGCTAAAGTCACTACAAACATTTCTATACAGGGTTTTGTGTGGATAATGAAATGATGATTTCATTTCACTTGGGTAAATATCTAGGAATGGAAAGTATTGGATTTTATAACTGGTGTATATTTAACTTTATGAGCACTGCCAAGATTTTCAAAGTAGCTGTACCACTTGCATTCCTATGTTTGGTAGGGTTGATTTTGTGCTGTTTTCAGTCACTCTATCTGGTATATACTAATATTTAACTCTAGTTTGAATTCATACTTCCCTACTAATGACAGGAAGAATCTTTCCATGTGTCACCTATGCATCTTCAGGTTGCTCATTTAAAAAAATTTAGTTGTTTTCCTATTTTCTGTGAATTCTTTATATATTATAGCTAAGAACATTTATCAGTATGTGATTTTCACTAATTTCTCTAACCTGGGGCTTTGTTTTCTCTCTGTACCTCTGAAGAAGTTCTTACTTCTGATGAAGCCTAATTTACCAATTTTTTCTTTCACAGATCATGTTTTTTATGTCAGACCTAGAAAATTTTCACCTAACCTAAAAGATCAGTAACCGCGCTCCCTCCCGCCCTCTCTCCCTCCCCTTTCCCCTTTTTTTGAGACAGGGTCTCATGTAGCCCCAGCTGGCCTGGAACTATGTAGACCCAGCTGGCCTCAATCTCAGAGATCTGCCTGCCTCTGCACCCCAAGTGCTGGGATTAAAGGCCTGTGCTACCTACCACTCCTGGGTCTTCCCTCCCTTTATGTGTATGTGCTCCAGTGCTCCCTTATGTAGGTCAACCTCCATTGCCCACCCTCAGGAGTCATTCACCTTGCTTTTTAAGACAGGGTCTTTTACTAGGACATGGGGCTTGCTGATTAGGCTAGACTGGGTGGTCAACAAGACCCAGGGATCCTCCTGTCTCTGCATCCCCATTTCTGGGCTACCAGGTATGCACTACCACATCTGCACTTTTACTTGAGATCCGGGAATGGAATTCAGTTCCTCATGCTTACTAGCCGAGCCATCTCCCAGGCTTTTCTATATTTGTTTTTAAATTTTCATTCAGGTTCTTCTCAACCCCTGTGATAAACTGGCAGCCATCAAAGCAGCCTACTAAACTGGTTTTTAACTACTGTTGACTAGTGTTTTTCCTAATCCCAATGCAAGTACCATGCTTAACTACAGAAAAGGTTTTAATAATCATCCAACAACATAAAAGATGCTGTCCAGAGAAACAGAAGAAAAAACAACGAGAAATTCAAGAGTGGAGTTGTCACTCAGTGGTAGAGCACTTCCTTAGCATGTATACAGCCCTCAATTCCATCACAGGTACAAAAGAAAAGAAGGCAGGAAATACAGATTTATGTAAAAATCGATTGAAATAAATGAGACATACAGGAGGTCAGCATGCCCAATGGCTCTGTGCCCATACATCAGGTGACAGTGACTGATAAATCAGTTAGTGGTGACTGACACTGCCCCCATGCATTAACACCATTATAGACTGAGTGAAGGAGGATCTTGATAAGGGACTCTCTAGACGACCTCCTTGGGACCTAGTGCATTCCTGGAAAATGGTATTTTATACACAGACTTATTTCTTTTGGTGGCCAAATACTCCCCTAAACTTGCTAGATGCCAACAGTCTGAGATGTACAACTGATTATAACACTGCTGTATAAACTGGGCCACATCTGAAATGTAAGGGGCTAACTGGTTGGGACCAAGGAATGCTTCATTGCTACCAAGATGACTAGACGGCATGACCCTGCAATACCTGGCCCTCGGGATCATCAGAACACATCCCAGCTGACAGCGTAGAAGGAAGGTTGATTCTCTAAGACACTTCAGTCAACAGAACAGACTCCTGTTCTTGTTCTTACTCATCTAACTGCTGCAACACAATGATTCAAGAGCCATTCTTTCTCCAACAAGGAAGAAGAAGGACCCAGCCTCCTGGGAATCCATGGGCTGTCAGAACACATTCACTGCACCTTCTCCTCTACCATCATGCATTGAGCCTACGTAGGAAGAACCTGTCATTCTTCTTTGAGCAAGAAACTTCTTCTCCATGGTACTTTACCTACTTTCGAATCTGTTTCTCTACTGAAAGCTCTCTGAAGTTTAGAGGAAAAATAAAAGCTTTACCTCTGAAACTTGAAGACTATTTCTTAATAAGAGTATATAAGCAGGACAGATTGTCCTTGATTTTTTTCATCAGGAAACTGAAGCTAAGCAATTTACTATTTCAACTAACTCGAAAAACTTACCTTTCTCAAATGATTTAAAATTATATGATCAAATTAGTATTATTCTACATTTACATAAACAGATGTTAGCTTTTCTTCAGTCCTGAGACTTTGGAGTTTTGATGGAATTGAGACTGTGCTAGAGATCGATGGAAATGTTTTCTCTTAGTAAAGATAACATGGAGAAATTTATGAGTGAGCTACCTTTCAGCACACTGAGGCTAGAAGGTAAAGTCACACACCTGGTCAGTAACACAGTCAAGGTTCTAACATCACTCCTTCAAATCCCTAAAGGGTGCTCTCTCTACTGAACAGTAATGATCCTAAATAGGAAGGATGCTTCAGAGAAAATCAGTGAAGGTGACTAAATTCAATGTACTCACTGTCTGTTTTCCTTTGTTTTGGTTTTTACAGAGATCATTATTTTGGGAAAACATTCCAATTGCATATGCCACAGGAGGACATTTGTAATCTTTGTAGTTCTGGGAAGCAAAGATGGGAAATGACCAACTTTGAAAAAAAGATAAGGGGAAAGGATATTAGAAATACAGGCAAGATTCATACAAATTGCAAACAGATAGTAAGTGCTAGGTCTAATGCGGTACCCTGGACTAAATCCCAGTGCAGAAGGAGGGCATGAGGTAAAAAATGGTGAAAGGTAAAACAAATGTGTTTAATTAGTAGTGAAAAATAGGGTTTGGAGGAGTAGCTCAATGATATGGCACCTGCCTTACAAGTACGAGGTCCTGAGTTTGAGCCCCAGCTTTAGAAAAAAATTTTACAAAGTTAGCTAGAATGTGTAACATTTCTAGAAAGAAGTCACGTTGCTGCTGAGTGCACACTGATGAAGTTTCAGCTTTCCAATGTAAAGAAGCCGACATAGAAACAGAGTAGGTGTGTCTACAACAAAGATGACATACTTTGCCCTTGCTTCCTCCCATTTTTGTTTTTTCTCATCAAAAGTTTTCTTCATAACTTGGTACCATTTTCTGAAGCCAAACTGTGGCTTATCTGGAAAAAATGAAATCCAAGTGTATTAGTGAAATATGTCATAGTATAATAATACACATTATTCATTTGAGCTTTGATTCAGCAATATGATAAAATATTTACATAACAGTTCTTGGAGATTATGAATAGATTATTGGACAGGACTCCTATATTTAACTCCACCCAACCAGGGCTCAGGGGCCATTGCAAAAGAGGGGGTTGGAAAGATTGTAAGAGCCAGGGGAGGTGGCATGACCATATGGAAGCAGTCTTACAGGCTCCTGGAACTTTGCTCGTATGAATCTACAGCAATGGTGTCAACATGCACAAGACCCATACAAACTCAAGCAGATAAAAACCCAGCGTAGAACTGGGGAAATGGGCAGAAGACCCCAATCTTAGCCAAAGAACTATTGGCAGCTGATGACTGCTGGATGAGAGAGAGCTGACCTTCTTTAAGGGAGTGACTCTAGATAGGCTGACTGTACTCCAGTGGATGAACATGCACTGAGGGAGGTTTGGGTACACTACCTTTACTCAGACAGGCCTTAATGTAAATGACAGAATGCATGAAATCCGGCAGATGGGTGGGGAGGTTATGGAAGGGTGTGGATGGGGGTGAGGTATAAAGATGTTTTATATGAAATACACAAAAATTCAATTAAAAAATTAAAAAAAAGAGTGCAGTGGAGAGTTGGAGTGTGTTCAAGACATACAGGTTAGAGGGCCAGGTGAGGTGGTACATGCCTTTAATCTCAGTATTCAAGAGGCAGAAGCAGGTGGATCTCTATGAGTTTAAGGCTAACCTCGTCTACACAACAAGTTCTAGGCCAACCAGGGCTATATAGTGAAAGCCTATGAAAAAAAGATATAGAAGTTAGAGAGACAATAGAATGAACATATCAAGTATAAAAGGGATTGGTCTCCACTGTTTTCTAATAAAGATGGCCTCTTTAAATAGGGCATAGTGGCACCTGACATTAGTCCTTGGGAGGTAGAGACAGGCAGATCTCTGAGATCGAGGCCAGCATGGTCTAAATAGCAAGTTCCTGGCCAGCTGGGACTACAGGAAGACCGTGTCTCAAAAAAAAAAAAAAAAAAAAAAGTCTCTTTAATGACTAATTAAAAATCTTTTCAATTGACCAATATGACCAAACAATACAGCCAAAGAGGAAACTACCAAAAGAATTAAAACAACAGAAGACAACTGTATCAATTATTTCAATGCCCGGTTCTTTGTGTAAGTCAAAGTCTCTCTGACTCCCAATCTCACTAGTGAGTGGCAAAGGGGATGGAGGTCAGCATGGCAGCAGAGAGTATAGAACAACAATCCTCACACTGCTAACAGATTTACTGTGAAGTCTGTAAGGAAGACAGGTCAAAGTGCTCTCTCTCTACTCCACATGTCTACATAGCTACCATCACCTTCAGCATTAGACGGAGCATCAGAAAACATCTACTTCAACATTTTACTCTATATACATGCTAACATAAGCACTGTTTAGAAAGATTTTTTATTTTTTTTGTGTGTCTTTTTTGAGACAGGGTCTCCTTATAGCTCCAGCTGTCCTGGAACTCACTATGTAGATCAGGCTGGCCTCAAACTCACAAAGATCCACCTACCTCTGCCTCCCAAGTGCTGGGATTAAAGGTGGGTGCCACCATGCCCGGCCTGAGAAAGAAGTATTTTATTTTGCAAATATCACAGAAAAATATAAGAATTGAGAATTAACTCAAATTCCTAAAACTAATGAACATAAATTCTAGCACAAACATAAACTGAAACTAAATTAAAGAACTCAAATTCTGCTAAACTTCACTGAGTTAGGTAATCCCGAGTGCTGGGATTAAAGGCGTGTGCCACCACGCCCGGCTAAGATAATTTTTTAAAAAGCATTTATGAGCTGAGCCTGGGTAGCACAAGGCTGTAATCCCAGATATTTGAGAGGCTGAAGCAGGAGGATCATAAGTACAAGTACTGCTGGAGCTACAAAGTGAGTTCAAGGTCAATGGGGGCAACTCAGTGAGATTTTTGTCTCAAAAAAGGTAAAAAGTTGGCTGGAGATGTATTTCAGTGGCAGAGTGTTTGCCTAGCATGCATGAAGCCCTGGGAAGGAAGGAAGGAAGGAAGGAAGGAAGGAAGGAAGGAAGGAAGGAAGGAAGGAAGGCAGGATGAAAAATAGTCCCTCTCTCTGGAGGTTTACAGTCTATTGATCTGCTTATCACTTTTAAGTGTGTGCCAGGTAATCTTCTAAGTATTTACAAACATTGGCAATCAGGGGCCATCATAGGCAATCTAACATAGGCCAGCAGTTACAGTGGCAGGAATGATTAGCTCTGGCTTGGGAAAGGGGGAAATGATGTGAAGTGAGTGGGTATGAAGAACAAGCAGAAGAGTGTTATTAACGATGCACCTTTAAGAATGAAGAGGCACTTGCTAGGTCTGAAGGAGTGAGCATAAGAAAAGAGGACTTCTTGGAGAGGGGCCACACAAGCAGAAGCTGAAGGTGTGAAAGCTAGCTGAGTGGCCACAAAGCCGCTGCTAAATAAAGTTCATGGTCTGTTCTGGCTTGAGAGTAGAAAATGTGAATAAAGAGCAGACAGGTCTTTAACACAGAAAGAAGTCACTGAAGTTTCTCAGCAGCCTACAGGTACAATGAGATCCATATATGGAAAACAGTACAAGGTTATGTACATATGACTTTCAATCACTTTCCTCCTACATCTATTGTATTTTTAAATCTACCATTTATAATCACTTTGAATTTGACTAGTAAAAAATTAAGTACCTTCTTTGTGTTCTTCATTATATGTTTCAGCAAGATCGGAGTAAGACCTGGAGATAACAATAAATAAGTCAATCTGTTTAGATATGTATTTGGATAGCTGAACTTTTGAATTCCTCTGAGAAAAATGTACAGAACATTACTTGAGCCTGATACCAAGTCTTAATGGAGAAGCAATCATCAACCCTGGAAGAAGGCATTGTATATCCTCACTCTGTGACTTTTAGGAGGGTGACACTGCAGAACACTTTTATGCTATAAATCTTTGACAGACATATGGTGCCAGGAGTCTAAAGGCATACTGACAAGGTGCCAAATCAGTCTTCACAACTTATGATATTTTAAAAACCAGAAACATGGGGCTGGAGAGATGGCTCAATGGTTAAGAGCAATGGCTGTTCCCCCAGAGGACCTGGGTTTGATTTCCAGGACCCACATGGCAGTTAAATACTACTGTCTGTAACTCCAGTTCCAGGGGATCTGATGCCCTCTTCTAACCTCTGTGGGTACTGCATGACACGGGTACATTTACATGGATGCAGTAATATCTATTACTCATGCACATAAAATAATGAAAAAAATAAAATACATTAAAAAAATCAGAAATACATGTTATAATGAGAACCTCTGCTATGTCAGTCACACTGATGAAGCCATCAGATAGGTAACCACCATCAGCCAGTCAAAGCAGCATGTGAGAAATCATTGTCAATATGCCACATAAGGCTCTAGATTCTGAAAAAAACATGAATTCCTTCAGTGTGAACAACTGGCTAAAAACAACTGTTTTCAAAAAGCTGAGATCAGTGCAATAAAACATTATTTGCCATAAACTTACCATTCTAAATTGTCATCCAGTAAAAAGAGCAGTTTCAATACAACTACAATGACTGCTACAGCTTGTACATCATATTTAACAGTTTTTTTCATTTTAGCTATAGGATCAAAGGTCAGAAAATCCACTTCTCCTATTCCAGTCATTTTTACCACTTGGCAGGTTAAACCATGCATTTCATCTGTTGAAAAGTAAAACGGTTAAACGTGAATGAAATTATTTGGCTAACTAGGCTATAGAAATACATGTGTTCATAAGTTATCTTTATATTTTTTTTGTTTTGTTTGTGAGATAATCTGTCCATAGCTGCTAGAGTAAGTTATTGGGATTAACAGGTATGCACACCACACCTAGCAGTCTTTAACTTAAAATATGGCACTATACTAGAATTTGGAGACATAAACTTTGTGAATAAAATACACTAAACAACGAGGTCTACATAGAAACAGTTGTGGTAGGATTTGGCAAGGCCCATCTTTTCCTATTTTGACTTCCTAAAACATCTATCTGTGGGTCACATGAGGGCTTCCTGTAGATAGCCACACGTCAGCTTTGTGTTGTTCTATGCATGTCCCTTACTTGTGTCTCTACAGCAAGATACACTTACCTGAAGCAATTCTCCCTATAGAGTCAAACTTCTCCAGTGATGCACAAGGCTGTATGGTGCCAGGCTGAGTACCCCGGAGGTTCTCAACTGCACTTAACTCAAGGCTCTGCTTTCCCAAAGAAATTATATGTACAGCAGAGACTGTATCTATTACTTAAAGGCTGAAGAATTGAGCCTTGGAAGCAGAAAGTCTAGGCCTATATATAGGCTACCCAATCAGTAGCTGCTAGATTAGGGTTACATGGCCTGTTTTCTTAATTTTTTTAAAGACAGGGTTTTGCTGTGTAGCTCAGGCTGGGCTTGAACTTGTAGATCTCTGCCTCAGTCTCCTGAGGGCTGGGATTACAGGCACAAGCCACTACACGTGGTCAGTTTTCTTATTTGTTAAATGGATTATAAGAGAATAAAGTCATATTAAATAAGACTGTACAGATGAATATACTTTGAAAATTCTAAGTCATTAAACAATTGCTCACTAACCGAAGAATAACAGATATACCAGTCTCAGTCCCTCCGTGGAGTAACCACAGTGGTGAAAGCAGATTATGGAACTGTTACATGGACTGAAAGCCCTGCTCCACCAATTACTAGCTCTGTGACCTGGGACATGTTACACGACCTTTCTTTGCCCCTGCTTTTTTTAAAACCCATCTGTATAAAACAGGAATAACAATAGTATCTTCTTGATAGTTCTTATGAAGACAAATCTGTCTAACGCAGTTAGATTCGTACCAGACCTATCCCTGTTTCTCCCTCTCCCTCTCCTTAGTTCACCCTCATGAACTGACCTCCAGTCTTCTGGCCTTACCAGGTCCAATCATCTTAGTCTTCCCTTCTCATGAACTCATTAAAACTTTTAGCTCCCAGCCCAAATATGTCTCAAAAATTTCCCAAAAGATCACACCGTCACTTGCCTGTCTTTTTTTTTTTTTCATAGCTTTTTTGTCCCTTCACTTCTACAGTTTCTTTTCTATATTCCTCATCACAAGCTTTCCTTGGCTGACCTCATGACACACATCTTGGTTACAACAATCACTTCTAAGAACACCTGTGTGACAGCAGCAGGCTTTCATGGTCAGTCTTCTGAGTGCTAAGGCAGTGCTCAAGGATGGCTTGCAAACTACTTTCAGGCATTTTGCAATCTAAATCCCAATATTCAGGGATCAACACTTCTTAATTTATAGATCAATTATGTTAACAAAAGTTTACTGCTTTCCCTCATCAGTTATAATGTAAACCTAATTCAGGCCATTTTTTACAAGAAATATAAAGGCAGAAGAAATGCATTACAATAACTTAGAAATAGCTACCTTAGGGGTTGGAGAGGTGGCTCAGTGGTTAAGAGCACTTACTGCTCTTGCAAAGGACTCTGGTTGGGTTCCCAGCACCCACAGAAATATAAAAACATTTCTATGCTTTTATAAACTCTCCATAAACAACATTTTGAAAATTACATAATGTACCACTGAATATTCATTAATATTACCTTTTTGGATAGTGGTTTCTAATTTTTCAGTATTATAATTAAGGCCGGGCGTGGTAGCGCATGCCTTTAATCCTAGCACTTGGGAGGAAGACGCAGGCAGATCTCTGTGAGTTCAAGGCCAGCTTGTTCTACATAGTGAGTTCTAGGCTAGCTGGGGCTACAGGGAGACTCTATCTCAAAAAAGACCATAAAAATGTTAGTATTATAATCAAGAAGACTGATAATATTTATATTTAACACTTCTCTACATTTCAAATTATTTCTATTGTACAGACTACAAAAAAATTTCTTTGCTCTGGCTTTTAGAATACTGCCTCCAAATAGTAATTTTATAAATGACAAATGATAGTAATGATTGTATATTAAAGCAAATTTAGTTCTGTTTCCTAACCTCAAGAAGGGTTACTGCTCTACTTCACGGCTCCATCCAGACACATAAGAAGACACTGCTACTAATCAGACTGTCTCCATTACATCTTGGTCATCACTGGATCTCTCCTGTAGGCCAGTATCCTCTCTACAAGTTCAAGATTTTGGAGTATATAACAAAACATAAAACTTTTCATTCTTGTAAGAGCATCATAGAAGTACCAAAACACTACAACACAAGGGTAACCCTGATCTATGTAGCACCTCAAAAGCAGAAACAAGGTCTAATACCTAGAATCTTGATCCAACAGTTACGGGCTTCTAAAAGCTCAAAAAAATTTTTTTTCTTAACTTTCTAAGAGAATTTTAGGCTGGGGATATAGTCCAGTGGCAGAACACTTGCCTAGTATGTGAGGCCCTGGGTGTGAATTCCACCACCACAGAAAAAAGAAAAAGTTCAAACTGTTTTTTGTTCCTACAATTTATTCAATTTTTGTTTTTTGAGACAGGGTTATACTGAAGCTGGTCTCAAATTAGTGATCTTTCTGCCTCTGCCTCTTGAATGCTGCCATATCTAAATGCTCTTGTTTAAAAAATATTTTTAAATGACAGACTTACTTATATTAAGTATATGTGATATTATTTATTTTTATAGTTAAGGTACATACAATATTTTATATTGCCTTTTACACCTATGTATTTTCTTCCTCTATTCAAAAGACATTTGCCCATGCCTGGCTTAAATAGGAGAGGAAAACATGTGTGGTTTCATCTACTCCAGAGTCTGAGGTTGGCGAATCACTTGAGCCCACAAGTTTGAGACTGGTATAGGCAACAGAGACCCTATCTTGGAAAAAAAGAGAAAAAATTTCAATCTTTTTTTTTATATTATTTAACCAATGATATAGCCACAGTACGTTTTGATTTGTTTTTTAAATAGGCCCTCACTTGGTAGCCTATGCCAGCCTTGATCTTGCACCAATCTTTTGCCTCAATCTCTAAAGTTCTAAAATTACAGGCCTGAGCCACTATTTCCCATAGAATGTTTGTATTTTAAGAACAAAAGTCCTTGGGGTTAGGGATACAGCTACGTTGGTAGAATGCTTATCTACTGTACATGAAGCCCTGGGTTCGATCCTCAACACCCCACAATCTGTTCTAGCACTGAGGGGGTAGAAGCAGGAGGTTCAGAAGTTCAAGGTCATCCTTAGCTCAGAGTCAGTGTGAGGTCAGCCTGGGTACTAAAACAAAACAAAACAAAACAACTTGAAGCCTGGCATGGTGGTGCACACCTTTAGACCCAGCACTTGGGAGGCAGAGGCAGGCAGAGGCAGGCAGATCCCTGTGAGTTCAAGGCCAGCCTGGTCCACATAGTGAGTTCCAGGACAGCTGGAGCTACAGGGAGACTCTATCTCAAAAAGACCAAAAAAAAATCTCGAGCTATGTGTGGTAGTGTACACTTAAAATTCCAGGAGGCAGGAAGATAGAGAGTTCCAGGCCACCCTGAGTTACACAGTGAGAACCTTCTCAAAAAATAATGGAAGACCTAAATTTCTCATACTTGTAGTCCAGTAGGAGAGTCAGGGAGTCACGGCTGGCTTCCAACAGCAGACAACATCGGAGTTACCTCTGTCTTGGTATATGTCCTATGGATGGGACAGAGTGAAGCTCTCCTCACAGTTCTTGTCACTGCCTTCAGCAATTCACTATGATTTGATCACACTTTTCTCTTTTGGCTTTAGGCACTGGAAATTGCAAATGTTACCAGACAATAAAAATACTACCACAGATTAGTCTCTAGGGTATGTTGTGATTGTTTAAAACAGGGTCTTGTTACTAGCTCAGTCTGGCCTTGAACTTCGGATCTTTCTACCTCTGGGATTATAGGTGTGTCACTCCATACCTGGCTGGTATTTTTGTTTTTAATTAGAATTCACTATGTGATGTTGCTATTTTTCAAAGCAGGTCATTAATAACCTATTCTGAAATATTTACCACTTTGCTTGCATTCAGCAAACTTGCTAGTTAAGCCATTTACATTCTTTCAAGCACAAATTCCTACCAGAAAAATAGAACTCATTTTTGAACAGTGCTCCTTTAACCATTTTATATGATCTGGATTATTTTAAGAAGTCATTTTGAAATTAGGTCTCCTGTTACTATGGACTTCGAAGTGGCTGAAGCAGTCAGTGACTGAAATGATCCTCTGTTCCGTTGAACATAATCCCAGTAGCAAAAGCTTCCTCAACCATACACACCACAACTCACCAGGAAGATTGACTTCCATTAAGTATTTCATACACAGTATGTTGGGATGAAGGTAGCAGTCTTCAGTTATTTCTGGAAAACGAGGCAAATCTAAAAATGTGGCAACTTCAATCATGTTTTTATAGATCTCTTCATAGTCAGGCCAAGACTGAAATAAAAAATGACATACTTGAGATAGCAATTCTTGCAACATTAGTTATTTTAAAGATATTTTCTAATTTAAAAGTAGTATATGGGAATTGAGAGAGATGGTTCAGTGGTTAAGAACATTGGCTGCTCTTGCAGAGGACTCAGGCTCGATTCCCAGCACCCACATGACAGCTACAAACCATCCTTAACTCCAGTTCCAGGGGAATCCGAAGCCCCCTTCTGATCTCCATGGCATTGCACGACATGGGTGCACTCACATACATGTAGGCAATACACTCACACACATAAAATAAAAATAATAAAATATTAAATAAATATTAAAAAAACAAACCCACAGTTCAACATCACACCACACTGAAGTCCTCCACATAAAAGCATATAAAATTCTCTTTAAAATTTTAGAAAAGCTACAGTTTTCTTGAGAAAACATTCTGACCAGTACTATAAGATTGCCCTTGATTTTTCTGCATTAAAAGTATATACATTTGATGGGCCAAGCGTGGTGGCACACACCTTTAATCCAAGCACTTGGGAGGCAGAGGCAGGCGGATCTTTGTGAGTCTACATAGTGAGTTCCAGGACAGCTGGGGCTACAAGGAGACCCTGTCTCAAAAAAGACAA